AGAGAGAGAAAAGAGATTAAAGAAACGGATGATGAGAAAACGGGAAGGGACAGAAGTGCCTTGCGAGAAGCAAGATCGATGGAGAGGAAAAACTTTAGGTAGAATGAAGGCGATGTATGCACTTTTCATGATTTTGAAGGCATCACACGCTATTTTAAAGTATCTACGCCGATGCTTCTAACTGCAACAACCATCTCAGAACATATTTAATGGATAGCAACGAAGGACGAGGTCCGCCTCCCTCGTGCACTCGTTGATCCCGCCGCGCGCAAGCGCTAACCTGCGAAGCACAAAAAATAAACAACAACAGCAACACGTGTCCGTCGGGTCACAACGTTTGACATATGCGGCGGTGACTCAGCTCCATTTCCTGTTAGTCGTTGCGTTGCGCGGCGGCTATATAAGCGGAGGGAGCAAGGTTGCGGCAGCAAATGACTAGTTGGAGCCTCGACGCAAGGCAGTGAGAGAGAGAGCCTTACTCGGGCTTGTGTGACTCGCTTACCAAGAGGCTTGTTTGACTTCCCTCGTCCGCCAGCGTGCTTTGGAGTGGTCCTCGACGTGAACCTCGGCCTCGAGCTTGTGGATACCCGTTGTTTAGCGTCTGCCTGCTGTGACGACCCAGCCTTTTGGGTTATCGAAGGATTGTTGTCGTGGCGCCTCGTGTTCCCATCTGTCGGTGGTGGAGCTGCAGCGGGAACTATGTGGCTGAGCGACGTGAGCTGCACCCTGGGAGCGGACCAGGCCCACGCCCTCGTGGCCACCAACCCCCTCCTGCACTCGGGGGCGCGATACGACCCGCAGGCGGCGCTCTTCGAGAGCCCCGACCGCACCATGACCGTCCCGATCCTGTTCCTGCAGATCCTCGTCCTCCTCCTCTACTGGTACAACGGACGCTCCTCCGTGGATTCCTACGCGATACGGCTGCTCATCAACCACCACTGAGCGGCCTGTGACCTCGCCTTTTTCTCCCCAGCAGCTGCGGTATGTGTTAGCTCGGAAAGTGACTGAAAGACAGAAAACCTTTGATTAGTGTGGCGTGTGATGGTTTGAGCCGACGCTCGCCGTTGGCCAGGACGAGCGCAGGTGCGACGCGGGCGTGAGTGAGCATGTGGGGCGGGCGCGCGGCCGTGCCAGCCTGCCTCTCGCGTGCCTCCATGGAAAGCCGTGTCCAGTGCCCGCTCTTGTGTCGTTATGATGTTCGCGTTGTGTCGTTATGATGTTCGACGCCGCTAGGGAAACTCCGAGGTGTATTTTGATATATGGCACCACTAGGAAGAAACAAGGACATTAGCAATGGAGAATGGGGGAGTGTCCAGTCAAAGCACTGTGGCCCCTTCGGATGTTAGCAAGAGCCAGACGCCCGTCTACTCCCGGGAACTGACACTCCAGGCGCACTTCACCTTCGGCACTCCGTCGATGGCTCCCGTTCAGTACGCCCACGTGACGCCCACCTCCACCTCCTCGGTCAGTGGGCGGCCCCTGATGGCGAGCGGAGGGCCGGTAGAGCACTTCCGGTGGGGCTCCGAGCACGGGGCGCAGTGCTCCATCACCTGCGGGCGCGAGGGCCTCACCATGACGTACAACGCCTCTCCGGCAGCTGGCCCCAGCCCCGCCCTTGCCGCCCAGCACCTGATTCCTTGCGCCATCTGCAACTCCCTGGCGCTGAACCGCGCGGGGCCGCCCTTCTCGACCCAGGTGGACACCGCGGCCGTCCGGGGCGCCCCCTCCACGGCCGCTCCCGCCGCCCCCAGCATCACCACCACAGCGCCGGCCTACACTCGGAGCCTGATGGACCTCAGCCGCCCTGGGGACCAGGTGGCCACGCGGAGCCTCACGTTCTCCGGGAGTCTGGACCGCGCCACGCAGCGCCCGCAGCAGCAGCGGCCCTACGGGCGGCGCTGCAAGAGCACGGCGCACATTATTCTGCAAAACAATGACCTGCAGGTGCCGCGGGACTCGCGCCCGCACGAGTTCCACTCAACTCTGCGAGAGGAAGACGCCCCTGGCCAGCGCGACCAGATGATGGAAGTTCCCGACGAGGCACCCCTGGGACGCCCCTTGCCCGAGGGGCGTGGCAGGGCGCGGCACAGGGTCGGAGCCGAGCCGCCCTACACAGCGGTGGGGTCCGGCCCTGCGGGGCTGGGAGCGCGGCCCCGCCGGAAACCAGGAGGCGAGAGGACGCTACTTCGAACCGAGTGTGCATCACACCCACGCCTTCCCCCCGCCCTGCTGCCCCTGCCAGCACTGCTCTGCCCTCTACTCCATCGTGTCCACACTAACGCATGACCGACCCTGTCCTGTCTGCCCTCACCACCACCACCACCATCACCATCACCATCACCCATCATGTTCACCTCATGTTCACCCTCATCATACTCAGGGACCTCCAGATTACCCGCCGCCCGGCCCCGTGGGCGCCGAGGAGCCTCGCGCGCCGCCCGCGAAGTCTCCCACGACGCGCACCTTCAACTCTCACCGCTGCTACGAGGACGACCTGCGACGGCCGAGCGCCGCGAAGAGCCAGCCGCCCACCTCGCCAAGTCCCGCACGCCCACCCAAGCCCAAGGGGCGGCCCGTCTCCCCCGCCCGGTCTCCTGTCAGGTCGCCGTCGCCAATGGATCGTCGGGCAGCGGCGGCGGAGGAGCTGCACCCACGGACCACGCCCATCCTGCCGCGACGGGTTCCGAGGATGGGCGCTGCAGCTGCCGCGGCCGCAGCGGCGTCGAGCACCCACGCGCCTGGACAGGTACATATGGGAGACGCAAGTGAGACTCCCGGAGAAGCTGTTGTCTTGTGTCGCTCGTGTCCGTCTCTCCCTCATGTGCAGCCATCAGCGAGACCGGCTTCTTGGCAGCTTAATCCCATTGTAATATTTGTACATATATTTTTTTTCACCTGATCTCATCTTATTGAAACTTTGTAAATAAAAAAGATCATGTAAACTTAATAGTGTGTCGCCCCTTATTCCCTTCGTAAGTGTCCGCAACCTCCTGTGTAGAGACCTTCGTGCAGGGGACGCTGGTCAGGCTCCTCAGTAGTGCCGTAGATTCAGTTGTTTTACCAACACTTAGTTTGTCAGAATCAAACTTGTAGCATGGCAGATACAAATAACAGACCAACAGACAAACACAAGAGTCAGATTCAGACACTAACTAAGGCAAAAATAGCAGATCTAGACGTGTTTACAGATGCAGACTACCAGGCATGCGTAGCTACGTCAGACTTTTTAAAATGCATCACTTCGTGTACCTGAAAACCTCCCAGGTCACAGACACAATGCCCAGCTTAACGAGCTCAGAGAAGTAAAAATCGATAGATGGATAAATAAATGGTATGGAAACCAGTTTGACAACAATAATCGATAAAGTTAATAACTTGATGTCTTACTTCATAGGCTTATTAGACAGCAACCCGGCGACCATGATAACCTACCTTAGGGCCGGAGAAGAGGATGCGGATGCCATGCCCGATGCGGAACTGCCTTTGTTTTTGCCACGCGTACCCGAGACCGTGGCCGAGACATCCTGGTCTGCACACGAGTGGGAAACCTCGCGCCCAGGGTCTCACCTTAGCGGGTCATAACGCCAAATATCTGTTCGCTGATTCCGTGTTGTGTCAGCCTTTCCATTTATTGGTCCTCGTATCCAGCATTGTGGGGATACGTATGAAGAAGGGGGAAAATACTAGTGGAATGTATATATGGGAGAGGTATAAACGCGGGCAGATAAAATATGAAATGTATATATATATAAAGATATGAATATATGGATATGTGTTTTAAGGCAATAAATTGTAGCAAATCATATCTTAAAACATTTCGAAGACGAATAAAGAATAAATAAACATGTACTTGATATGCGTATGTTTAAAAAAAGTAAATAATGATGAAACCATGAATGTATACAGCCTTGTGTGCGTGTGCGTGTGCGTGTGTGTGTGTGTGTGTGTGTGTGTATGTGTATGTGTGTGTGTTGTGTGTGTGTTGTTGTGTATGTGTGTGTCTACTTAAGTGTGCGTGTGCGTTTATTCCTGACCCAACCCCACGCGGCATGTGACTTCTGCCGACGGCAGCGAGCGGAACCAGGAACTCTGCGGGCGCGGCGCGCGCGACTTCCGTCTCGATTCTTCTATCTTTAGGAAGGGCGTTCAGTCAGGCAAAGGCGGCGCTGCCAAAACGTCAAAGCAAACGATGGAATGCGAACACTGCTTTTAGTGACAGACACGTGATGTGAAATGGCGCCCTGATTTCGGAGAACAATGTAGCTTGTACATATTGAAGAGGGCGGGGTTAGCCCCTCTCGCGGAGGGCTCTTGGTTCCTGCTTGCTTTGAGCCGCACGACTTGGCGATTCCCCGGGACGCGATCGAGCGAGGGAAGGGCGAGGCTGGAGGAATTGCTCGCCCCGCGTTCGAGCAGTCATTCTCTCTTCCTTTCTTGAGTCTCGGCGCTCATGACGAAGAGCAACCTGGTGAGGGGGAGGCGGGGGGGAGGGCAAGGCAAGAAGAAGGGGAGAGAGGAGAGAGAGAGAGGGGGGGGGGAGGAGAGAGGGGAAGGGAGGGGAAGCAAGGGATTGAATTAACGAAGGGGTTGTTATTCGTGAACACTCTATCGCCGCGGCGTTCTCCGAATCCTCACCGGTTAACCTGTTGTTCTCCCATTGCATCGGAAAATACCTATTAAGAATACAATACCCTACCACATCGGTGGAACAAGGCTTGAGAATTACTCTGTGTCTACGATTGTGCATGGATGCAAGAAGCAAATACAATACCACTATGATTCGGTAAATCCACGAGCGTTAAGTTTATTTCGTTATTTTGCGTTCGCGTCTTTTAAGTGACTGTTGTTTTATATTACAGTTAAACAAGTCGTGTAGGGGTTATGTAATATGTCGCTTATATTTTCTGTTCTTGTTTCTCGTCTTGCCCAATTCCATCATCACTAAGGTCGCCCTTCGCTAACCCGCACTCTGCAACTGAATCCCCATAATTAGACAACTT